AGATTACAGTCTGCCCTGGGAGGACCCGAGCTTCCAGTATCCTGAGAATTTTGCACAGCCTCTGGAGGTCGCCATTGAGGCCAGTAATGGGGCTTCTGACTACGGCAACAAGTTCGGGGAACCAGTGCTGGCCGGTGAGGCTGGGGTATGGAGGAATAAAGGACACCTAGTCCCAGAGGGGCTTGAGGATGGGTGTTTAGCCAGGTTCTGTGGTACTGAGCAAGTTCAGGGGAGACTAGATTACTAGTCCTCATCCCCCTTCCCTCTGATGTCTACGTTCCAGGCTTCGCCCGCTCCTTCGGCCTTCAGCTCCCAAATGGCCAGCGGCGTGAGTGGATTAAACCCATCATGTTTAGTGGGGGCATTGGGTCCATGGAAGCTGATCATGTGTGCAAAGAGCCCCCAGAGCCAGGTAAGAGCCTGCGGCCTTTCTTTGGATCCAGCCAGTTTTCTCTCCAGGACAGGCAGTTGCAAGGGAGGGAATTTAGAGGATACTTCTGTGGGTAGTCTTTTTTTTTTTTTTTTAAGAATCATTTTATTTAACTTAATTTATTTATTTTATGTTGACTAGAGAGGGAGAGAGAGAGAAAGTGAGAAAGCAAGCCGCCAGGTCCAGGAGTTGAACCGCAGTCAACCGTGTTGGAGTCCAGCACCCTTAACCACCCTGCCACCTGCTGGCCCCAGTGGTTTTTTTTTTTTTTTAACTTTTTTTTTTTTGAGAGATTTTCACTGTAGGGTGCGTGCGCTCGCCAGACAGACAGAGAGAGACATAGAGACAGAAAGCGAGAAATCACCCCCCAGGGGGGATAGTCACGCCGCAATCCCTTCTCCTCCATTCTCCTCTCAGGATCTTGGGCACGCACGCACATGCGCCCGGCGTGAGTTTTAAGCCACCGGGTCCGGGACACGAACCGCGGTCGACTACGTGGGAGTCCAGTGACATAGCCATTACGCTAACTGCTGGTTCCCGGCCCCAGTAGTTTTTAATCTTCCAGCTCAGGCCTCTTCTTCCTGGAACAAACTTTCATGGCAAGACAGGGCTTTTTGCCAGCAGGGCAGTTTCCGTCTTTATTGCTTCTGTCTGCTCCCCAGTTTACTTGTGCACTCACCCCACCCCCTGTGCTTCTGGGTCACACCCTGCAAAGTCAAGGCAGCCAGTGTTTATTCAGTATCTGCCATGTGGCCTGGGGTTTTTAATCTGCTCGCTCAACTGAATTCTGAATTATGGTGTGTGTTTTTTTTTTGAACTGTGGAGACATTGTGTGCTAGGTTTTATACTGTTGATAGTTGCTGTGGTAGAACCAAGATAAAGTCCAAGGTCCATTTATTGAATAGGTGACTTGATCACATTATCCAAGACTCAAAAGGTGAGAAAGGATATGCAGTGAAAAGTTTTCCCACTCGTCCCCACTTCTTAGTTTTCCTCCCTAGAGATGAGCAGTGTTAATGGGTTACTTTTGTATCCTGTTGGAAGCATTTCCTACATGTATAAGCAGATTCATATGTATGTTTGCTCCTTTTTTTAAACACGTGACATAACGTGTTTTCCTTCTTTTTTTTTTTTTTTTTTTTTTTTTTTTTTTTTTTTGTGAGAAGGTGTGTGTGCTTGCCAGAGAGACAGGAGAGAAAGGGAGAGGAGAAAGCACCTCTATGGGGAGTGGTCACATTGCAATCCTTGCTCTTCCCTTTCTCTCTCCTTTTGTGTCCGATGTGTTTTTTAAGCCTCCAGATCTGGGGCTGTCTTGACAACCAGGCCACAGAGTTGGCTCTTCTTTTTTTTGAACCACCACTTTATTGAGATGTACTTCATATACCATAAAGTTTAACCTTTTGGAACAGACAGATGGCATAATTGATTATGTTGTTGGACTCCCACGTAGCTGACTGCCGTTTCAGTCCAAGACCTGGTGGCTTCAACCTTAGGGTAGGCATGTGTGTGTGTGTGTGTGTGCGCCCAAAATCCCAAGAGGAGAAGGGATTGTGGCGTGGCCATCCCTCGTAAGGGGGGTGATTTCTTACTTTCTGTCTCTCTGGCAAGCACATGTGGCCTATAGCAAAAATCTCTCTTTAAAAAAGAAAAATTTAGCCTTTCAAGGTGTGCAAGTGGGTGGTGCTTAGTATATAGTCACATAGCTGCATGACGACATTGCAGGCAGCAGCAGACTGCTTATATAATGGTCCTGTAAGATTATAATGGGCCTTATCTATTAGATATACCCTAGGCATGGAGTAGGTTCTACCTCCTAGGTTTGCGTAAGAATACCATACAGGGCTGGTAGATGGCATGATGGTTAAGGCACTGAACTCCTGGGGCTGGCAGGTGACATGGTGGTTAAGGCGGCTGGACTCCCACATGGCTGACTACAGTTTGAGTCCTGGACCTGGCAGCTTGCTTTCTCACTTCCTTCTCTCTATCTATCTCTCTCTGGTCAACATAATAAATAAATAAATAAATAAATAAATAAATAAAATAGTGACAAATAAAATTAAATTAAAATAATTCTTCAAAAAATTTTTAAAAGAAGGCTCTGGACTCTCACATGGATGACTGAGGTTCAAGTTCTGGACCCGGAATCTTGCTTTGTCACTTTCCCTTTCTCTCTATCTCTGTCTCTCTTTGTTGAATACAGGTGCCCTGTAGAAAATTTTTAAAAATTGATAGGGTAAATAAATTTAAATAATTATTTTAAAAACAATAACAAAAAACACTTTTTGATGTTTATACAACAATGAAATTACCAGCATGTTTCTCAGAATATGCCTGGGTCATTAAGTGACACATTACTGTATTCACAAAGTTGTGTATCACCCCTAGATTAGAACATTTTCATCATCCCAGGAAGAAACCCCTGTACCCATTAGCAGTCACTCCCCATCTCCCATCCCTCAGCCTTCAGCATAAATAAATTCCTCAGACTGTATTTACCCAATGAAAGAATATGTGCATTTGTCTCTTTGATTGGTATTGTCAAGTGGCCTTCATGGAGGTTGTATGGTTTTCTTTCTCGTTAGCCCAGTGGAGTGTTGAGGCTCCTGCTCCCCTGACATCTGCTTCCCCTATCCTTACACTGCCTTGCTTTGGAGGCCTCTTCTGGTGGCCTGCCCAGCGTTCTGATTCAGCTCTCCTTCCTCACAGGCATGGCAGTTGTGAAGGTTGGGGGTCCTGTCTACAGGATTGGAGTTGGGGGTGGAGCTGCTTCATCTGTCCAGGTGAGGGGAATAGCTAAAGGTGTAGACTGATATTGCTGGAACCTGTGTTCGTGGGGTGAGGGTGTTCTGGGAGCTTCCAGTCTTACTGAGCTGAGCTCTGCCCTGTGTTCCCCAGGTGCAGGGAGACAATGCCAGTGAACTGGACTTTGGGGCCGTGCAGCGGGGAGACCCGGAGATGGAACAGAAGATGAACCGCGTGATCCGAGCTTGTGTGGAGGCCCCCAGGGGAAACCCCATCTGCAGCCTCCATGACCAGGGCGCCGGTGGCAATGGTGAGGGAAGGGACTGGGCCTACCCGGTCTCCTGCCAGGTTTGGTTTTGGGAGATGCATCGGGGATCTGCAACCAGCCACTCAACTCGGGGTTCCATTCGCCCCCTGTACATCATGGACAGGTTCAGAGTTGGAGGGGATGGAAACCTGCTGCAGTGGGGTGGGTGATGATGAGTGTATGGCAGCAGCTCACACAAGGGTGAGCAGGATCAGGACCTTCTCGGGAGACCATGGACTGCCCATGGCTCACCGGAGCTATGACCAGCCACCACCTCTCCCTGTAATCCTCTCGCCAGGCAATGTCCTGAAGGAGCTGAGTGACCCAGCAGGAGCCATCATTTACACCAGCCGCTTCCAGGTGGGTCTCAGCTCCTGACTTCTGGCTGTTTCCCTGCTCCTGCTGGCCCAGCCATCCTCTATCCATCCTCCCCCCTCCCCAGTAACAACGCGAGACTGAAGTGCCCACTGAGCCCTCTCTTCCTTTCCTGCTCCATGGCTGTGCAGCTGGGAGACCCGACCCTGAATGCCCTAGAAATATGGGGGGCCGAGTACCAGGAGTCAAATGCCCTTCTGCTGAGGCCTCCCGACCAGGACTTCCTCAGTCGTGTCAGTGCCCGGGAGCGCTGCCCTGCCTGCTTTGTTGGCACCATCACTGGAGACAGGAGAGTGAGTTGGCCTTGGGGGTTAGTGGGTAGGCTTGAGCAGCCTGGGTATTGTCGAGAGAGAGAGAGAGAGACGGGAGGTTGGGAGACAAGGAAAACAACGTGTGGGGGACAGGCAGTAGGAGGCGGGAGTGAGGGTTACTTACAAAGGAAGCCAAGCAGAGTGGAGAGAGCATGTCTGCTCCGATTTCAAGGAGCTTCCCATGATGCCTTGCGATGTCTCATTCCCTCTGGGTGGTGTCCTTGTGTCTGCAGATAGTGCTGGTGGATGATCGGGAATGTCCTGTGGGAAGAAACGGCCAGGGGGATGCCCACCTGACACCTCCTCCAACCCCTGTGGACCTGGAGCTTGACTGGGTGCTGGGCAAGATGCCTCAGAAGGTGTGTGCGGGCAGAGAGGATGCTTCTCCTGTGATCTTCCTCTTCAGGCCACCCTTGACCCTCATCGTGCCTTGTCACTGTGTGCCAGCCCTCGCCCAGACGCTCACGTGCCCTGTCACCATCTGTGTTGCAGGAGTTCTTCCTCCAAAGGGAGCCCCCTCTGCTGCAGCCTCTGGCCTTGCCTTCAGATCTGACCGTGCGCCAGGA